ATATATGGTATATATATGGTATATATATATATATATGATATATATATATGGTATATATATATATGATATATATATATATATATATATATATATATATATATATATATATATATATATATATATATATATATATATATATATATATATATAACATATATATATATATATATATATATATATATATATATATATATATATATATATATATATATATATATATATGTTAAGTTGTGTAATTGTACACTCCGTAATATGTTAAGATGAAAATGTTCTAGAGTGTGTATTATATAATTTCCATACCCAGCGCAAGCAGAAAGATGTTGTCTGATGTTGAACGTTTTAAGAATTCGTTTTTAAGATTAACAGTAAATAAGTTTTTAAGATTAACAGTAAATAATTAAAGATTAACAGTAAATAAGTTTTTAGAAATGTAAATAATTTTAAATATGCAATTATTATGTAATTTTAACTTCTCTTAATTTATGTAATAGTGGTGTAATTTAACCTTTTTGGGTTACAAAGTCAGTAATCATTTAATCAATTCAATTCAAAATCTTGCAAAGAGAGGCAGCCTTCAATGATTTAAAGTTCACATTAACCTCCGATGATGTCCTTCTTCAATTCCCCCAACATATCCGCGGAGTTTGGAGTCAGCACCGGCGTTTCTGATACCGGCATAGATGTTTGCTGTCCCAATGAGATAGTTCTGGCCGGCACCAACCCGTTCTATTTACATAGTAGACTTTGACAAAAGTTGAACTAGCGCACTGGGTGAAGAAGCGCGTACGCATTTATCCCTGTGTTAAGGAAATTTAGACCGTGCCTTTTGGGATACCGACCACAAGGGATTTCAGTGGCTGCACGTTGGCTAGAAGAATCTGACGAATTTAATTTCGTGGTGCAATATAGCGTTGGTGTCACAAACCCCCATGCGGATGCGTTATCTCGTATACTAGGAGTCCACTCGTTGTGTGATAGCCAATGGACAACTTGCATGTTAGACTAAATTTTAATCTAAGTAAAGAGAATGAATCAAACACCACAGCTAAAAAGAACGTAATGAAATTAGTAAAATTGCAAAATTTGGTTGCGAAATGTTGTAAAGCTTGGTGGTCAGGCAAACTTTTCAACCTGCCCGGTGTGGATATACACTCAGAGTAACATCAGAAACATATTTAAAGTTTGTTCGTTCACAGCAACCATGCAGGTATATTAATAATGTTTTCGCTCGCTCATTCTGGTTTATATATAAATGAATACAAAGCCCAGTCGAATTGTAATCAAGACCCGACGTTTCGACACTCCAGTCAAGTGTCTTCATCAGGGGGATGATGTCATCTTCCATTGAGATGCATGTATTCCTCTGGCCGAATAGGCACCGTCATCCCTATTCAAAGCATGATTACTCATATTTATATGGGTATATTAATAATGTTTTCGCTCGCTATTCTGGTATATATATATAAATGAATACAAAGCCCAGTCGAATTGTAATCAAGACCCGACCGGTTTCGACACTCCAGTCAAGTGTCTTCATCAGGGGGATGATGTCATCTTCCATTGAGATGCATGTATTCCTCTGGCCGAATAGGCACCGTCATCCCTATTCAAAGCATGATTACTCATATTTATATGGGTATATTAATAATGTTTTTGCTCGCTATTCTGGTATATATATAAATGAATACAAAGCCCAGTCGAATTGTAATCAAGACCCGACGTTTCGACACTCCAGTCAAGTGTCTTCATCAGGGGGATGATGTCATCTTCCAATGAGATGCATGTATTCCTCTGGCCGAATAGGCACCGTCATCCCTATTCAAAGCATGATTACTCATATTTATATGCCACGCTTCTAGGCATCGTCTTTGACCATAGCGATTGTGGTAATTACTTTAGAATTTTCCCACGCAATCTTGTGTTTGGTGTCACACACATGTTCTGCTAAAGCTGATTTCCCCATTGAAACAGCCTTTTGATGTTCTTTTAGCCGTGTACCAAACTTGGGCCAGTCTAAACGCCAGTTTGGTACACAGCTAAAAGAACATCAAAAGGCTGTTTCAACTTTAAACAAGGAGAAATCAGCTTTAGCAGAACATGTGTGTGACACCAAACACAAGATTGCGTGGGAAAATTCTAAAGTAATTACCACAAACAATCGCCATGGACAAAGACGATGCCTAGAAGCGTAGCATATAAATATGTGTAATCATGCTTTGAATAGGGATGACGGGAGCCTTAGGAAGAAATAGCGACATACATTAAATGATCCTTTGGCACGAAACCCAGCAAATGAGGCAATCGTTACGTTTTGGTTGCGACCCCTCGCTCAAGCTGCAGTGATGATATCTATCCCTGACAAGTCTACGACCACTGTGGCTAGTGCCGTCATTCGAAACATTTTATGTAGACGTGGGATTCTGGAGTACCTTCTCATAGACCGTCGCTGAGCATTTGACAATTTAACTTTGACTACTGTTGCGCACGAGCTTGGCATTGGCAAGAAGCGAATTTCAGGATTACATCCTCAAGCCAACTGAACGGTTGACATGCTTAATCGAACTATCGGTGACACGTTGAGGATATCAACAAACGAGCGTGGAGGACTGAGATTTAGAACTCCCTTAAATCGCTTTTGTGCTGTTCAACAACATGAATCACGACCACGAAGCTACAGTACAGTATTTGCTAATCCCACATCTAATTCCTGTTCCATGGGTATTTTCCTCGTACTCCAGGGCTGATTGTTGCACCTTCTCTTGTTACGAGTCAACATTCGGCTAGCCAGTGGGTTGCAAACCTTTCTTCTTACCTTAAAGAAGCTCATTTGGAAGCCCAAACATGGGATTTACAAAACAAAGCAACGCAAAGTGGCGCGCAGACTCATGTATACGTAACTCCTAAACCAGGATCTCCTTAGAAGTTACAGAATCATTGGCATATATTTGACCATACGTAGTGGTGAAGTGTCTTCAAGGTAATACCTACTGAATCAAACATCACGAAAACTTTCGAAAGCGAGTCTTGCGGCACCGTGACCAGATGCGTGTCATCAATACCCGTTCGGAGCAACTCCGACACAATACCCCAGCCACTTTACAAACTAAAGAAACTCCTGCAGCATCCCAGTCCCAGCAACAAGATTTTGATTTTTCAACGCAAGGTACAACAAAGCAAGAGAACTCTGCAAGCTCTCGCACAACAACAGCAAATGTACGGACACATGCTGCTCATGCAGGAAGAGACTGGCTTGGACAGCGAAAGAAATCGTGTAGCATGCTTGAATAGTCCGAAACATCGCAGAACGTCAAGAATCTGAAGACCATCGGTAAAATATATGGATGGGAACTATATTCAGTATTTGGAACTAGAACATATAGATCTTGTATTCTTGTTACAACTGAAAACTTTCATATTAAGGATAATTTCCGTCAACTATTATCTAGGGGGAAGAGTGTAACTTACAGTGTTGTGAGCACGTGAACGTCCTGTAACCGAGTTAAATTAAATAATTATTTAGCAAGTTTATTCTCTAAGGGTTCTTCAAGTTTCGGCATAATTTTTCATTTATAGACCCTCCGCTCGGGGGATTCGGCGAAATATCACCTCAAGAGTGGTGATATTTCCCTCATCACTTCGGATAATATTTTGCCTCAATCCGGGTTTATAACTGCTGCCAGTGTAGGTATATAGTGGCGATGATAAGAAAGCCGCAGATTGATCTAGAGGGAGATACAACTACCTGAAAAATACAAGGAGAACGACGAAGGGCCTTTGCTCGAAGACTCGAAACATCGAAGTTCTGTTGGTATTTTTCAGGTAGTTGTATCAGACATATCGAGATTATAAATGCTACTGTCCACATTTTCAGGTTATAATAGTTATCATGAAGCAGATGTTTTCAGCGATATGAGAAGTAGATTGTAAAAACCATACAGTGCTGCGCGCGAAATACAATACTCAATGAAACCATTTAAAGTTGCCATTCATCAATAAATAATGATAATTATGGGAAATTTCACGGGGGAAAATTTGACTCGATCAACAACACGAGTAAAATCACGCACCCACAACGACGTCGACTCAAAATATTGAGTTTATAATACCAAAATTTATGAGTAAATTTAGTCAATTTCTTGAGTAAAGTACAGATCTTTACTCAAATTAAAAAATTGAGGGAATTTGAAACTTTGATTTGATACTGAAAAGATTGAGTACACACATTTGCTCACAAATTTGAATAATTTTACTCAGCGTTTCAGTCATTGCATGTCTGTGGGTGCATTTTTTATTTAAGTTTCGAGTCAAAATAGTGAGAGTTTTTGCAGTGTTAGAGTATAATTGTTTTTGTTTGTGGAAACACCACGTAAATTATATTTTATTATATTTTATCGCCATGCAAACATTCAAAGAACTTATTAGTGTTAGAGTAGTTTCATATTTTTTCCAGCATAAGCGACGTTTACATTATCAGAATCAGGGCGCTTATATAAGCGCCCTGATCAGAACATAACGCGGCCCGCCCCAGGCGTTACATTTTATTTTACGGCAGGGCGACCACTTTAAAGAAGAACAATTAATGTCGCAATGAATTATACTCACTGATCAATTGTAATCTTTATAATTGACCGATTGACAATCATATATTAATTAATTCTTTATCAAATTTAGGTACGATCTTGCAACTTGCTATACCAGGGCCTTTTTAACATACAAGCCGGGGGGGGGGGCAACTGCCCCCCAGTCCCCCCTTGTGCCCCCCCCCACGAAATCACATTTTGCCCCCCCACCCCCCCACCCCCCGAAAAAGTCCCTTTTTCCTAAATTTATATACAAACAAACCCGCGAAGAATAACAAATAGATAAACGGAAAGTAAGTTTTAGGCTTCAGTATCTTTTGTTTTTTTGTGCGTTTTTTCCTTCTTTTATTTCAATTACAAGTATAGTTAGCGTAAATTTTAGAGCAAATTTGGATGCTCAGAATGCAGGAAATGGCATTTCCGGGCTTCAAATTTCAAAAATTTTCTGCGAGAGTATGCCCCCACACACGTGGCCTTCGGCTATTGCTATCCCCCTCTAATAAGTAATGATAAATTGATTTTTTCTGTGTTGGTGTAATGTACTCGGGTGAATATGATGCTTGTGATGTTACTCTGAGTGTATATCCACACCAGGCAAGCTTGAAAAATATGCCAGTCCACGGTCGGAATCGAACTTACGACCTTTGGAATACTAGCCCAATGCTCTGCCAACTGAGCTACGCGGTCAGGTCGTTTGAGCTACGCAGTCTGGTCGGTTGAGCTACGCGGTCAGGTCGGAATATTGGGCTATTATTCCAAAGGTCGTAGGTTCGATTCCGACCGTGGACAGGCATATTTTTCAAGCTTGCCCGGTGTGGATATACACTCAGAGTAACATTACAAGCATCATATTCACCTGAGTACATTACACCAACACAGAAAAAATCATGATTATTAGATTACATTGATATCGAAGGAACTAGATTCTGTTCCGAAATATCACATACTCGAACCAACCTGACCGCGTAGCTCAGTTGGTAGAGCATTGGGCTAGTATTCCAAAGGTCGTAGGTTCTATTCCGACCGTGGACAGGCATATTTTTCAAGCTTGCCCGGTGTGGATATACACTTAGAGTAACATCACAAGCATGATGATAAATTATGGTTAATAATTTTTAACCTTTTGTGCGTTTTTTCCTTCTTTTATTTCAAATACAAAGTATAGTTAGCATAAATTTTAGAGCAAATTTGAACGCTCGGAATGCAGGAAATTGCATTTCCGGGCTTCAAATTTCAAAAAAAAATTGGGGAGTATGCCCCCAGACTCTCCTATTCATCCATGGTATGTCGACCACACACATGGCCTTCCGCCATTGCTATACCCCTAATATATTATCTCACAGAAAGGTCCCTTTTCAAGAAATGCCCCCCCCCCCACGGGAAAATCCTTAAAAAAGGCCCTGTGCTATACTGTCTTATACGAAACGATTGCTCTCTCTATATTGCAGCAAATTTATGAGAAAATTTGTTCATAAATTTGAATAATTTTACTTAAAATTTTGAGTCATTGCATGTGTGCATGCGCATTATTCGATTCAAGGTTTTGAGTCAAAATACTCGAGTAGTTTACATGATTGTTATTCATTGACGTATTAGCTATAAGGAAACGAAAGGAAACGTCTATTGCGTTGAAATTATCCCCGAGCCAACGGCGCGGAGCGCCGTTCCGGGCGTAAGCCCGGGGCGAGGGTACTAATTCCGCCCGGCTATTTACACCCGGGGAAACGAAAGCATTAGCGAAGTCTAAAGTTCATCAATGATCGCGGGCGTGGGTCACCAACGAATTTTCGGTGGGTGGTCATCCTCACTGATCTCGAAAATATGGCGGACTGTCATGAATAGCGGATACTGATTGGTCAAATTTATAGTTTGCATTATAACGACAGCGAAATAGCAAACATTTCTTGATTTGATCACAGAGTAGAGACATACAGAGCTGTAACTGACCGTCGTAAACACTGCGGAAGCTTACATTTTCATGCACCCACTTTTTTTCAGGCGACCGGGCAAAAATGATCAACTGCGCGTGCTCAGCAAGTTTAAAGTGAGTCGCCATCAGGTCGTCATCCAATCAGATGCATGCATCTAGTAACTTGCCGAGCATGCGCACAAAAAAAGTGTCTCTCCTCTGCGATTGATGATTGATGAATGATGATTTCTTGCAAATATATTTCATTTTTGCAAGATTTTGTGAGTTTCAAAAGCTTTTTAAGAAAATAAAGGCGAAGGAATTACTAAAAGAAGGGAGTAAAGGTACCGACGTTAACGAAGGTAGGTTTGTTTTAAATATAGATATATTAATAGTTCGCTTTATAACGGCTTTTAAGCTGATCGTTGCGTATATTTTAAGGCCTGTTTACACGGGCGATTTTTGCTGCGATTTTAGTTGCGATTTTCTGCTTTTGGAGGATGTGAAGGAGTAGATTACTTAATGATGTTGTTATGAGATTTCATAACCTGGAACATTTATAGCTGATCTACACTACATGACAACTACTTTAAATACTTCATGTTCGGAAAATCCCAATAGTTTTGTCAGCAAGGCGAGGCCGTTTCTGCATGCATGTATTTTCTAGTCTAATTTATGTTTTGATCTAGATTGCAACTTTACGGGTTTTTTTAAGAATTACATCACATGAATCATTCGTCCAATGAAACGATCATTTCCGTCGAAGAAATAAATGTTCAAATTTCTATTATTTTTTTTATGGAGTATATGCATGCATGCATGCGCGCATATATGATTGTGACATGCAGTTTTCACTGAACATAACCGACGATAGAATAGATAATTTAATACAAATATCGATTGTTCGATTTCTTATTTTACCAATTATTAGTTGTGCGAATTTGTATATTTGCACTGACAAACACAAGAGCATCATTCATATTAACACAAACACTCGTTGTTTGGGCATGTTACAAAATACAAATCGAATTTTAAAGCCAGATGGAATGTAACAGACTACACAATTATTTGTCTTACTAACATTTATATTATTCCTTTATGGTTCACCGGAGTGGCCTAAATTTCCAATTTTAAACTCTGTTTTTTTCTTTCATGCGTTCGTTCGAAAACTGATGTTTTAACTGACAATAACAGATATTCAGTTTCCCATTTCTTACTTCTTAAAAATAAATGAATGACTTCATAAAATATGCCAATGCATAACTCATTAGCAACTATAGCCTACACACACAGTACATGACATGCAGCTAGATATATAAATTGACATAATATATATGATCTAGCTTTTTAGTAACCTTATATGCTATAGGTGAGAGCTTGTTGAAGTAGTATATGACTTCACCAGGGATACGATTCTAACAAAACTCAAACGTGAATGATAACATTTACCTTTAGTTTACTTAAGGATGTCAATGATGAGTACGTCCCACGGTCGCTCCAAAGTGGCATTTTTTTCTTTTCTGAGCAATATTTGGATGCCGTTTGTTGCTATTTATAACCTTGCTTTAATATTTCATGACATATTGTTCAACAAAACATGATAAATATATACTCCATTCAAGATTTTCGCGCCGTTTCTATATACACAAAGACGCGTAGTCAGCCTTATGTTACTTCATGGCAATCATCTTGGCGTTGCGGTTAGACCACTGCACTTATATCTCAGGGGGTGTGCAATCAATTATAGCTCCAGCTATGAAGTAGTAAGATATGATCGCCTATGTAAATGTTTATCTTACACGCTAATAAAACATGCAAATTTCAAGCATTTTACTCACATGTTTCAAAATACAAACATCGTCATAAATAAGCTTCTAAATAAAGCCGTTTCGTAACCAAACATCAAGCTCAAATGCAGCAAAATTTTTGGCCATTTTCATTAGCTTAAATATTTTAGAGTTTAGCCTTCGTTATAGACGTTATAGAAGCGATTGCATCGTACATTGACTTGAAGTTGAATAATTTTTGCCTTCAAACTTCGTTACCAGATGCGAGCTTTTTGGCCGCCATGTTCGCTTCCTGTGACGTCAGAACGAGTACGGAAGTCGCGTGATACTAATAGAGAGTTTTCGTCAACACGGATGCATGTCACCCGAAAATTCGCACAACTAATTTTTAGAAGCATTTTGTATCAGCGCTCGTGCAAGGAAGCAAAAAACTTAAAAAATCTCATGTTTTGTCATATCATATGTGTTGAAGATTACAACAAACTGATACAAACACAGTTTCTGATACAGCCCCCCAGCAATCTGACGAGTGTTGACAAAAACGTTGCTTGCTTAAGCTCGCTATTTTCTGGTTGCGTTAAGCCTGCCGCACATGAGAGCAACTTGCTGAGCTAACCGCCTCGCGTGGCAGCTAGCTTAGCAAGTTTCTTTCGTGTGCGGATAGTTTTCGTGAGGATTTGACCTCTCAAGGCCTTGAGGAAAATATCTATCGTGTTTGATATTTTTCACCTCGCGAGAAAAAAGTCTCAACGTCTGCGGATGTTGTGAGCTTAGTGCTGAGCTGCTTGAATCAATTAGTCAATGGGAATCCATAGTTTCTTCATGTGACTTTGAACACAATGGAAGAAAATGCAAACGAATTAATTTGTCAATTATATATGTTGTTGTTGAGAAGTTTCCCAACGTGTGCGGTGAAAATGCATAGCTGAGCTAGCCGCCACGCGAGGCGGTTAGCTCAGCAAGTTTCTCTCGTGTGCGGCAGGCTTTATTCATCTATTCAGATACGGAGAAATGTGATAGAGATACGGAGGTTTTGATACAGAAAATCCTCTCAACTACCGGCGAAATTCGCCGATCTACTGTATACTGAGGAGCACAATTACATAATACAAACCATTTATTCCATTATTCCTCAGTGGCTCCGTCTCATCCAAGATAAGTCAGTTGCTCAGTTCAAGATAAGTCATATCTATCGCTACTTATTTTAATTACTGTTCTGAATACTTTGAAAAGTTTGAGTGATCATGTATGGTACACCACAGAAATGTATATGTACACAGAGAGCGAGAATTCGGCTTATATAACTACAGGGTACTTGGGCCAACCGGCGTAACTCCGGTATGTACGGTAAGTATACGCGAATTATCGCACCCTGCAGAGAGGACTTAGGGACATGGACTATTAATCTAAATATAAAACGTGGAGAAAACTTACGACTAATGCCTCTGAAACACGAGATTTTTCATTCAATGGATCATCTTGACCATTCTCTGATTGTTGTTTATCCTGAAACAAATTGAAGGAGTATGATGAATGTTCTACATAAGGCGAGGAGGGTGTTCTGGAAAGAAGGATACCCATTATAGCAAGACAAAAACTTTAAGATAAAATTTTGGACGTTCGGCGCCAGTGACAGCAGTGGCGTAGTCAGCCCAAACGAGTGGGGGGAGGGCCTGATCGTCGAATTCACAGAACTATGGGGTCCGGGCGTTCGGGGGGCATATTTTCCAGGGCGTTCGGGGGACATGAAAATTGTTCTATTTTTAAGGTTTGCGAAACGCTATTTCCTGCATTTTAGACGCATTTTATGATAATCTGAAAGTCACAGATTTGGTATATTTTATATGGCATAGATGAAAGCATTACGAGGTTACGTCCCCCCCCCAAGTTTCTTCTCAGTTTTGAAAGAATTACAACATTTGTTCGGACGAAAGGTGGGGGGAGGGGGGGGAGGGAGTCCGGACCCCCCCCCCCAACGAAGGAGAGGAGGTCGGAGTTCTGTTGCATGGGGCTGCAGCATTTTTGTGGTCAGCTGGAACAAGAGTTGCGGTACTTTCTCCCAGCTCCAGCTGGAAAGTCAGAACGACAAGAGATGTGACAATTTCGTAGAATTGGCTTTGCTTATACAACTACTAGCGTCAACAGAATATGTATGGACTGATAGCCAAAGTGATTCATGCTTCACGTGCTGAGAGTAACGAGGATAAATTTAGTCTACAGCACACAAAAATCTCCAAAACAGTTTTTGCATGAGCGCATTCCAAAATGTTTTAAAATACAAAAGACCATTCTCGTAAGCACAGGATGTGGGTGCCCATTCATGATTCATCCGAGCCAGAGGCTCATAAAAAAAGTGCACGACAGATCTTTGTGAAAAATGGATTATCTGCATCAACTCTATATAGCTACAGAATTGTAGTATCATGCATGGATTAGTTAATATGTTATCATCTATCACACCGTTCCAATGCCGTGAAACGTTTTCCACGTTCTTCTGATAACTATATACCTTGTTTGTTTATTTAATTTAATTTAATTTAACTTAAAAACTAAAAGAGATATTATACACCTAATCCAGGTGCATTGCATTCAGTATTGTCTAACTTAATTTTTTGTATACGCCCTGTGCATTTGCATGCAATATTGACCAAGATAGTTGCGTTTAAACTTGAGTAAACATTTTGGGAAGTGTCGAGAATTAGCTAAAAACTGCCTGTTAAACTGATTCGATAACAGTTACCATTTATTCCACGATAACCATTACCAAGTATTCGTTACAATGAAGTGAAGTTAAATTTAAAATGTTTATTGGATGGATATGCTCTTTTATTTTTGTTTTACGATCTTTGGGAATGCATGAAAATTAACTTATGATTAAAAGTTTTAATGGTTTTGATTAAGGTAATTCCGCAGTTTTTCCTTGCGCACTTTTACTGCGCACATCGCATAACTTATAATTTCATCCATTATACGTACCGTTTAAAAAAAAATCATTTTATGACAATTTTATGTTACTTCAAAACATCTTTGGTTACATTCGTGCAAAGAATTACGTTAAAATCAATGTTTTCAAAAAGGCATACAAAAGTGTAGCTTCCCTGTGTATGTAGTATATTTATTTACTTGTATTTCACGTTTTAATGCCACAATTCCCTAAAAAGATCAGTGACCCCCGTTTTTAACTGATAATTTATTTCTTTAATGCATTTTACATTTCATATCCGAAATTAAAAGAAAAATCATTTCTGGATCTTGAAAAAAAATGCTTTATCAATGCATGTTCTCAAAGAAAGATATGCATGTAAAGAAATGTGGAAAATACATTTATGGATCAGAATTGTACACGTTAGTAGTTTCATTTGCTCAAAACACAATATTTTTTCAAAAATAATTACAAGATAGGTTTACTAAAGCAAAATCCGCGCTAAAAACGTCAATAAATATCGGGCTGTTGTGATTTTGCTGTTACTCGTAATGAGCGTCAAGATGGGGCCATATTGGGGTAAAGATGGTATATTGTGATTGTCATATCTTCTTAACGAGTTTGGTGACCCCGACTTTTTTGTGCGATTTTACTTTAAGTATATCATAAACTCCATGCCTGGGAAGTTTCAGCACATCCTCATTTCGGGAACAATTACTGCAGAATTACCTTAAAAGATTTATTCTAACTGATAATTTTTCAATGTCCCTGGGGAATCAAATTCTAAATGTTCCAAGAAAGAAAAGTCGTGTGTTTTTTATAAATATGCATCGTTTAACAAAGGACCAAAGAGTTTCGATCTGTTTAGAATAAGCGTAAATAATGCTCGTGAGGTTATACCGGCGGCGTTGGGCAGGTCCCTACAAACAGTGGCGTAACGGCAGAAGAGGGGGCCCTTATAGGCATATTTGGTGTGGGGGGCCCTGTTGACTGTTGTCATTGTCTGACTGAGATAATATATTTATATTGAATATTTATAGAATGTTCTGGAAAATTCCGTGTCTATAACACTAACAGTCTCCAACACATGTAACAACTAATAAGAATAAATTTGTTTCATTGTTGAGATGGAATAAAAAATCAACCACTGTTGTCGATGGACGTTTTATTATTCAGCATAATTTTGCATTTTTCCATTGATTCTACCCGGCATTTTATGACTGATGGGGGCCCTAACTATTGGGGCCCTAATTAGTTTTTGAACTAACCTTACCCAATGAGCGTTACGCCACTGCCTGCAAACGAACGTATTCTTTCTGACTGTATAGTGTGTCTAAACACAGGTTATTGCTGTTAATATTTGATTGGCCGTTTTTGGCTAATTCTCGACACATTCAAAAATGTCTATTCAAGTTTAAACGCAGCTATCTTGTTCAATATTGCATGAAAATACACTTGGCGTATAAGTTAGATAGTATACTGAATGCATCTTGTTTAAATGTAATATGTCTTTTAGTTTTTAAGTTATACTATAAATCAAACAGGAGAACTTTTTTGCGCCACCCATTACCTTTTTTCATGTAAAATTATACCTTTTTTCATGTAAAATTATACCATCATTACCTTTTTCCATGTAAAATTATAATATATAGTCATCCACCGTATATGATTCGCTTGTCAAGGTCAGGGAATATTCCGGGTCGCGCACGTGGGACTAGTGAATTATGCATGAGTAACCCCAGGGGACGCGGTTGTACCTGTACAAAGGCGGGATAGCTAGCGCTATGGTTACCGGATAGAAACTTTTCAATGTCCGTAAAAATGCTTGAAAAGCCATAAAACTATGGATCTCACAATTTATAGAAAGAAACTTTAATTCATATATACTAAAGTTTAATCTGGGTCAATCAACGGTGAATTT